ACCCGCGTTGGAGTGACAACCCCGACCGACGTCATGAAAGAGTAGTACTCCTGGGAGTCAGGATGTAATGGCAGTTACCAATAACCCTTCATCCAGTCCAGAGTGTAGTACACCGTAGAGTATTGTAGTACGGACATCGCAACTTCTAAGTTGGGCATCGGCCATGGCATCGGCTCCGTACACGCGTTGATCGGTCTTGAGTCGATCGCCATCCGCAGGTCGCCCGGGTCTTTCTTCGGGACGATACGGGACGCGGCGGCCCAACGTGACCGAGTGTTAAGGTACACCAAACCGGCTTCTTCGAGCTCACATACGTGCTTCTCCAAGTACGCCACATGGGTCGGTGGGTAACGCCGAAATCCTGATTTCACTCTAACGGATCTGGGCTTCAGATGCACCTTCAACGGCTCCACCTTGACCGGAGGGTCCTTCACTCTAACGGATCCGGGCTTCAGATGCACCTTCAACGGCTCCACCTTGACCGGAGGGTCCCGACCGAACTTCAAACGGAATACGTCCTTGAACTCCACCAGTACATTTTTGTAAGCGTCGTACGGACTCTTTATCCATGCCTTGGGAAGCGGCGTCGGCAACTTTGCTCATCAGCACCGTACAGACCGGATCGTCGTCGACTTGCCCGTCTGTGGGGTACGGGTCCGTCCCCTAGTGTGGAGTCGCGCAGCACATTCCTTCGTCGTCGTTGATGTCGTCCACCAACGTCTCTTCCATACGGAAGGTTCGATACATCGCCTCACAGGGCGTCGCGATGGATTGGTCGACAAAGTCCCATTCCGCTTTCTGACGGCGGGCGTTCTCGAGCAACGTCTTGTATCGCTATAACCCAGCTTCTGCATGGCCGGCAGGCCTAAGGTCAGTTCCACGCCTGCCACAGCTTCGTCGACCCATACCCGCAGCCCGCGCAACATCAAGGGTCCACATCCGGTCTTGAACCGCAAACTTCCGAAACGGACTTGCTTGGTCGCGACGACTGGTCAACTGTCCGCTCCGTAGGACTTTCGGTCACTCCGTGGGCTGCGACCGCACGTGGAGCCGATGACCAACATCCGTGTCCGGATGTACATGATGGTTGCGCAACCAAGCTATTCAGTGGCTGAGGTAGACTGTAGAAGATGATTGGTAGTGAGGAAGAACTTAGACATGATTGATAATGAAGTTGACTTTTGGATTTGTCATCGAGGTCACCGTTGAGAACACAGTAGCCGTCGGTTGTAACACCGGCGCAAGAAAACATGCGTACAGTATGTGGTGCACGTCAAGTACTAGTATAAAGGTGGCTGTATTCGCGCTGATCGTACCAAGCATCGTTGACGGTTCGTCTACCGTGGACAAGAGGAGACGACGGGGTTGAGTATGAAGGGGGGTCTTACCTGGGAGTTATAGGATGCCTTTGAAGTGCACGAACGTGCGGACGACACGCTGTGTGACGATGTCGTCCATGGGCTGCCACTCTAGAAGGAGCTCCGGAAAG